CGTTGGACCGCTTTCTTATCGGTGGGTGCTGGCCAATCTAAGATGGCTGAAACCTTTTGGGGATCCATGGCTATTCCCGTGGGAGAGATGGTTAGACCCAGAAATGAAATACTACTCTGTTCAAAGCAGCACTTGTCTGCCTTGGCATACAAGCTGTGTTGGCGGAGCTGTTCTAACAGGCGCCTCACGTGACCCCTATGGTCCTCCAAGGTTGGGGAAAAGATAAGGATATCGTCTAGGTATACAATGACGAAGATATCCAGATAGTCCCTGAACACATCGTTTATGAAATGCTGGAAGGTGGCTGGAGCGTTGCATAGGCCGAAGGGCATAACCAAATATTCAAAGTGTCCGAATCTGGTACGGAATGCTGTCTTCCACTCGTCCCCCCTCTCTGATACGGACTAAATTATAGGCACCTCTCAAGTCTAGTTTAGTGAAGACAGATGCTGATTTTAGCCTCTGAAAAAGTTCAGGGACTAGTGGTAGCAGGTAGCGGTTCTTCACCGTGACTTTATTCAAGTCCCGGTAATCTACGCAGGGCCGAGGGACTTGTCCTTTTTTTCCACAAAGAAAATGCCCACCCCAGCTGGTGACGTGGAGGGTCTAATAAACCCCTTATGGAGGTTTTCATCGATGTATTCTCTCAGCACCCCTAACTCCCGCTCGGATAAGGGAAATATCCGCCCAAATGGAATCTCCGACCCTGGGAGGAGATCAATTGGGCAGTCATAACCTCGGTGCGGGGGGAGAATGTCCGCCCCCCGCTTGCTAAACACATCCAAAAAACTATGGTAGGCCGAAGGAATGACTTGCGCCAGTTCCACATCTGTCTCTAGACACAACAAGGTCTCCGGAATCGGGGAGGTCTTAGGGAGGCAATGCTGCTGGCAGTATGTGGAGAGGAACTGGATAGAACCCGTCTTCCAGTCCACCTGGGGATTATGGGCTCGTAACCACGGGAGCCCCAAAATAATTGGAAATAATGGGGATGCTATGGCGTCTAACCGAAGGAGTTCTTCATGATGGGTCGATATAATAGTACGGATAGGTGGGGTCTCGTGGTCCACCACCCCTGACTTGATACGGGATCCATCTGCCAGAAAAATATTCAATCTTACCTCCTTAGCCTGTAGGGGGATTTGTTGCTGAACTGCAAAGTCCAAATCTATGAAGCAACTACACGCCCCAGAATCCACAATTGCTGTGGTCACCACCGTTCTCCCTGGCAGCTGAAGTGACACAGGTACCGCTAGATAACTAGTGCTGCCCACACTGGTAGAATTGACCGTAGAAAAAACAGTGGAACACTTACCCCCCTTGGCTGGACAGGTACGTACCACATGGCCTGCTCCCCCACAGTATAGGCAGAGATGGTTGGTAAGACGCCTCTGGCGTTCCTCAGGTGTAAGTGTTGGCCGTGTCCTTCCCGGTGGCCCGGTCTTGGGTGTATCCATAGCATCCTGATTCTGGCTTGCCGGCTGGAACTGGGTTGAAGCCTGGGGGGGTGTTTCAGTTGGTCCTTGTCCTTGGTTGCACCTTTCCTGCCTACGCTCCCGCTACCGGCGGTCAATTCGAATAGTCAATTCTATTAGGGCCTCCAAAGTACTAGGTATGTCTATTCGGGCCAATTCGTCCTTCAGTGATTCAGCTAACCCTATGCGGAACTGGTGGTGCAGAGCCGCCTCGTTCCATTGGCTGTCACTACACCAACGCCTGAATTCGGCGGCATAGTCCTCCACTGTCCGGTGACCCTGCCTGAGTGTATATAGGGCCCTCTCGGCCGTTGCGGCGCGCAGCGGGTCATCATACAAGAGGGCCATAGCCTCAAAAAATACTGTCACTGACCTCAACAGTGGGTCTCGATTCTCTAGGAGCCGGTGGGCCCAGTCTTGGGGTCCACCCTGTAGTAGGGCAATGATGAACCCTACTCTCACTGATTCAGAGAAAAAGGTCCGAGGCTGGAGGTCAAAGTATAGCTGACAGGAGCTACGAAAGGCCCTGAATCTACTTCGGTCTCCAGAAAAACATTCTGGTGTGGGGACACGGGGTTCAGGGGCGGGTAACAACCCTGGTGTCTCCCTAGTGGGTTCCCCAGACCCCCTGGTAGATGTGGCTATGGTCTGCATGCGACTGTCCAATTTTGTATAACCCTCCTGTAGACCCCTAATTCCTAGTGTAAGGGTCTCCATCTGTCGGCAGATGTCATCCAGAGGGGACGTTCCCCTTCCAGGCTCAGTCATGGCCGCAAGGTACTGTCAGGCTCCGCCCAACGGGATCTCTAGTGGTCCACGGCACGGGGTCTCCCAGGACGCGGAGTCCTAAGTCCCAGTCTGCCTTTTCACTAGGGCCCCTGATGGTGGGGATGGACTTGGTGCAAGACTGGAACCAGGTTGCGCCCCTGGGCACCCCCGGCGGTGGCAGAGGGGTCCCGCTGAGGGTATGTGCCCGGGATGAGCCTGCTGTGAAGGGGATGAAAGGTCCGATCCGAGCGGATGGATGGGATGACAGATCCCGATCCGAGCGGGATGGACGGATGACAGATCCCGATCCGAGCGGGATGGATGGGTGACAGCTAGGAGTGAGCGAGGTCAGACTAGCCGGGTCGGTATCGTGCGGGCAGCGTGGTACAGGGGGAGTAAGCGGAGAATGGTCGGGGTCACAAGCCAGGTTCAGCAAGTAGCGGGCAGCGCGGTACCGAGGGTCACGCAGAAGGATGGTTAGGGACGAGCAGGAGTCAGAGCAGGAGAGGGTCAGCATAAGTCAGAACAGGCAGAGTTTGGCAACCAGGAAGCGTACTTACAGGATCAGGAACAAGACCTTGCGGCAACCTGGAGATGCACAGGGCAGCTTTAAATAGAGCGCCCTGTTCTCCCATTGGTGCGGCCGCGATCGCTACTGCGCATGCGCGACCGCCGCTGCGATCGCCGAGGACTCTGCGCTCGCCGGCTGGGACGGATCGGCCGTCTGCACATGCGCGCACCGCCGAGGACCCGGGATCCCTGACAGACATCTGGGAATATTTGCAAAATGGAGCCTTCAAATGTGATTGTAGGGGTATTGCGGGCGGCCCTGAGTATATTTTCTTTAATCAGGAAATCCTTCATACAAAGGACAATGTCTCGAGGAAGTTTATCATTAGAAGGTTTTGGGCGCAGGGCTCTGTGAATGCGGTCACAAGCAAAGGAACCGGTGTCGTGGTCCGGGAGGAGTGATTGGAATAGCTTGGTCATGGCTTTTGTAAGGTCATTCACAGACTCTGGGACTCCTCTGACTCGCAAATTATTCCTGCGGTTACGATTATCAAGATCTTCAACTTGTGCCTGCAATTGTGCAAAGGCTGTCTGTAAATGTTCGTGATCCCTGGAAAGCTCTCCATAAGCCCGGCTGAGTTCATCATGTTTGGTTTCCAAGCGGTCAGTTCTGGAACCCTATGCTGCTGTTTCCTGGGATAGAACATTTGTGCTCTTGTAGAGTTCTGATTGGAATTTAGCAGCTAGCTTAGTGTACATAGTTTCCAGGCAAGATTCCAAGTCCCCCTTTGTAAGTTGTTGTGCACATTCATTGTCCTGAGTTAATGGATGAACTATGATATCCTGCGTGGGACTGGATGGATATGCCCGTTCCGTATTCTCTTGAGACATGTTGCTTATCTTGTGCGTTTTAAGAAGGTATGTTGTAAGGGACTTCTGAGCTTGTCCCTTTTTTTTCTTGGTGGATGGCATATAGGAAGTCCCTTGGGGGTGATCAGCTGAAAATTAGATGGCCAAGGAAAATAACCCCAGGAGACCCATAACGCCCTAAGCAGGTACATGAGAGTAGTTACATGGATGCGGTCAGGCACATTGGCAGGATCATTATATTGTAAAAATGATAATTAAACTGCATAAATGCAGAGTGGACATAGGCTGCAACAGGCTCCCCTGACTAGGCCAGGTATCCAAGGGTCGGATCCAATTCCCACCCCAGGAGGCCCTTGGGCCCAGCAGGAGTCACATTCACAGGGGGAGGAGCACGTGGACCAGAGAGTGGGAGCCACGGACCACTAAACATTGGGGGGGGACCAGATGACCAGTACTCCCCCCCCCCCCCCCCCCCCTATACTGCTTGTACCCACTGCGATCCAGATGAGACAGGATCAGGACTGGATGGAGCAGATCACACTAGACCTCAGGCCTCCGTCGCCTCAGAGGGGGGAAATAAGGTCCAGCGCCACCCCCCCGGATATGGGGGGTGGTCAATGTGCCTCCGATGCCCCGGACGGGTCCACTTCTGCCCGGATGGTCGCGGGTTCTGCGCCAGGGCTCCGCGGTCACACCGGGATGCAGGGAGGGGTAATTCAGTTCGGCCCCCCAGATGCAGATGATATGGAGGAAGGCCTCCTCTGCCCCGGATGGGTTTGCGGCCGCCGGATGGCAGCGGAGATGAGGCCGAGGCTCCGCAGCCGCGCTAGGCCGCAGATGTCCACGATCGCAGGGACGGGCAATATAGCCCGGATCCCCTCCCCCAGATGCAGGGGATGGTAAGGTAGCCTCCGGCACCACGCACAATGCCCCCGCTGCCCGGATGGCAGCGGATTAAAATTCCGGGCACCGGAGCTGTGAATTTGGCGGCCGCTCCGGTCGCCATCTTGGACACGCCCCCAGGTGTTTTATATTTTGATAAACAGATGAATGTGTAAAATGTCAATGCTTCAAAAAATGTGAATATTTAAACATTACCTGACAATACAAACCTATGTATGCCTTCTCGCGAGTCAGAAAAGGGGGGGATGAGTGTACCCCCTGCGCTTGACCCATACTAGCCCACCTGTCTTCATTGTTGGAGTGTACCCTTAGTAGGACCCCCCTGACATAACACCTTGTCCCCTTGTTGATTAGGACAAGGGCCTCTTAGCCACAACCCTGATCTGCACTATATTGCCAAAAGTATTTGGACATCCCTCCAAATCATTGGATTCAGGTGTTCCAATCACCTCCATGGCCACAGGTGTATAAGATCTAGCAAGTAGACTGCTTCTACAAACATTTGTGAAAGAATGGGTTGCTCTCAGGAGCTCAGTGAATTCAAGTGTGGTACTGTGAGAGGTTGCCACCTGTGCAATAAGTCCATCCATGAAATTTCCTTGCTACTAAATATTCCACGGTCAACTGTTGGTGGTAGTATAACAAAGTGAAAACAACTGGGAATAACAGCAACTCAGACACGAAGTGGTAGGCCACATAAAATGACAGATCGGGGTCAGCGCATGCTGAAGCTCACAGTGCACAGAAGTTGCCACCTGTCTGCAGAGTCAATAGCTAAAACTTTGTGTGGCCTTCAGATTTGCACAACAGTGCGTAGACAGTTTCATGGAATGGGTTTCCATGACTGAGCAGCTGCATCCAAGCCTTGCATCACAGTGCAATGAAATGCATCGGATGCAGTGCTTTACATGCCACCACTGGACTCTATAGCAGTGGTCTCCAAACTGCGGTCCGGGGGTCGAATGTGGCTCTTTGCTTGCCTTTATTTGGCCCTTGGAGCATTGGATATTATTCCTCCCAATAAAAGCAATGATGGGACACTTTATCATGGCATTTTCTCCTTCCACTGGCCACAGTCTCGCCCTCCTAAAGCCTGAAGGTCAGTAAACTGGCCTCTTGCTTGGAGGTTTGGAGACCCCTGCTCTAGAGCAGTGGAGACGTGTTCTCTGGAGTGATGAATCATGACTGGCAATCCAATGGATGTGTCTGTGCTTGGTGGTTGCCAGGAGAACAGTACTTGTCTGACTGCGTTGTGCCATGTGTAAAATTTGGTGGAGGAGGGATTATATTGTGGGGTTGCGGTGGGACTTAGCCCCTTAGTTTCAGTGAAGGGAACCCTTAAGTTATGAGCATATCTAGACATTTTGGATAATTTCATTCTCCCAACTTTGTGGTAACAGTTTGGGGATGGCCCTTTCTTGTTCCAACATGACTGCGCACCAGTGCACAAAGCAAGGTCCATAAAAACATGAATGAGCGAGTTTGGGGTGGAGAAAAAAAAAACACAAGTCAACATAAAATTGAATGGTGCTGGCAAAGCTGCTGCTGCTTCTGCAATGAGCTTGGTCGTAGAGGGGATAACAATATTTGGTTGAGGGGGTTGCTCTCTACATCAGGGGTCCTCAAACTCCGGCCCGCGGGCCACATGCGGCCCGCCAAGGCCATTTACCCGGCCGGCTGGCAGGGGCAGGACAGGAAGGGACACTAAGTACAGGGGCGGGCAGGGGGCTGCCTGGCTCCGGTCCCAGTCCCACGACGATCCAGTCCAGGAAGCGCTGCTCCTTCACTCCGGCCACTCCCTCACTCCTGCCACTTGGCTCCGCCTCCTCACCGGTGATTGGGCGCCAGAACTGTAGCTCAGGAAAGGCACACAGGCGGCCAATCACCTGTGAGGAGGTGGAGCCGAGTAGCCCCGTGAACATCGAGTGAGAGCCCAGAGTGAAGGACAGCTGACAGGTAAGTGTGCCGTGCTAATGGTGCTCCTGCAACCAGGTATGCTGGCTGCAGTAGCACCTAGGCTGGAGCAGTGGTCAGCAAGTTACATGTCATTGGTGTCAGTGGGAGGAATAGTGCCCCATCATTGGTGTCACTGATACTAATGATGGGGCATTATTCCTCCACTGACACCAATGATGGGACACTATTCCTCCCCCCACTGACTTCAACGATGGGGCACTAATCCTCCCCTCCACTGACACCAACGATGGGGCACTATTCCTCCCCTCCACTGACACCAACGATGGGGCACTATTCCACCCCCCACTGACACCAACGATGGGGCACTATTCCACCCCCCACTGACACCAACGATGGGGCACTATTCCACCCCCCACTGACACCAACGATGGGGCACTATTCCACCCCCCCACTGACACCAACGATGGGGCACTATTCCACCCCCCACTGACACCAACGATGGGGCACTATTCCACCCCCCACTGACACCAACGATGGGGCACTATTCCACCCCCCACTGACACCAACGATGGGGCACTATTCCACCCTCCACTGACACCAACGATGGGGCACTATTCCACCCTCCACTGACACCAACGATGGGGCACTATTCCACCCCCCACTGACACCAACGATGGGGCACTATTCCACCCCCCACTGACACCAACGATGGGGCACTATTCCACCCCCCACTGACACCAACGATGGGGCACTATTCCACCCCCCACTGACACCAACGATGGGGCACTATTCCACCCCCCACTGACACCAACGATGGGGCACTATTCCACCCCCCACTGACACCAACGATGGGGCACTATTCCACCCCCCACTGACACCAACGATGGGGCACTATTCCACCCCCCACTGACACCAACGATGGGGCACTATTCCACCCCCCACTGACACCAACGATGGGGCACTATTCCACCCCCCACTGACACCAACGATGGGGCACTATTCCACCCCCCACTGACACCAACGATGGGGCACTATTCCACCCCCCACTGACACCAACGATGGGGCACTATTCCACCCCCCACTGACACCAACGATGGGGCACTATTCCACCCCCCCCACTGACACCAACGATGGGGCACTATTCCACCCCCCACTGACACCAACGATGGGGCACTATTCCACCCCCCACTGACACCAACGATGGGGCACTATTCCACCCCCCACTGACACCAACGATGGGGCACTATTCCACCCCCCACTGACACCAACGATGGGGCACTATTCCACCCCCCACTGACACCAACGATGGGGCACTATTCCACCCCCCACTGACACCAACGATGGGGCACTATTCCACCCCCCACTGACACCAACGATGGGGCACTATTCCACCCCCCACTGACACCAACGATGGGGCACTATTCCACCCCCCACTGACACCAACGATGGGGCACTATTCCACCCCCCACTGACACCAACGATGGGGCACTATTCCACCCCCCACTGACACCAACGATGGGGCACTATTCCACCCCCCACTGACACCAACGATGGGGCACTATTCCACCCCCCACTGACACCAACGATGGGGCACTATTCCACCCCCCACTGACACCAACGATGGGGCACTATTCCACCCCCCACTGACACCAACGATGGGGCACTATTCCACCCCCCACTGACACCAACGATGGGGCACTATTCCACCCCCCACTGACACCAACGATGGGGCACTATTCCACCCCCCACTGACACCAATGTTTGGACACTATCCGCCCCACTGACACCAATGACGGGGCACTGTTCCCCCCCACTGACACCAATGATGTGGCACTATTCTTCCCACTGACACCAACGATGGGGCACTATTCCTCCCACTGACACCAATGATGGGGAATGATTCTTCCCACTGACACCAATGATGGGGAATGATTCTTCCCACTGACACCAATGATGGGGCACTATTCCTCCCCCTGACACCAATGATGGGGCACTATGCCTCCCCTTGACACCAGTGATGGGGCACTATTCCTCCCACCTACACCAATGATGGGTCACTATTCCTCCCACCGACACCAATGATGGGGCACTATTACAACCTCTGATACCAGTGATGGGGCACTATTCCTCCCACCTACACTAATGATGGGTCACTATTCCTCCCACTGACACCAATGATGGGGCACTATTCCTCCCACTGACACCAATGATGGGGCACGATTCTTCCCACTGACACCAATGGTGGGGCACGATTCCTCCCACTGACACCAATGGTGGGGCACGATTCTTCCCACTGACACCAATGGTGGGGCACTATTCCTCCCACTGACACCAATGATGGGGCACGATTCCTCCCACTGACACCAATGATGGGGCACGATTCCTCCCACTGACACCAATGATGGGGCACGATTCCTCCCACTGACACCAATGATGGGGCACGATTCCTCCCCCTGACACCAATGATGGGGCACGATTCCTCCCCCTGACACCAATGATGGGGCACGATTCCTCCCCCTGACACCAATGATGGGGCACTATTCCTCCCCCTGATACCAATGAGGGGGCACTATTCCTCCCCCTGATACCAATGATGGGGCATTATTCCTCCCCCTGATACCAATGATGGGGCACTATTCCACTCCATAAGACACACTTGGGGGGGAAATGTCTGTGCGTTTATGGAGCGGCTGGCCCAGTATTCCTGCCACCGTTGTATGTCCGCAGTCTCTGGTCATCTCCTGTACTGTGTCCGCATTTGTTCATAGTTTTTTTTTTTTTTTTTTAAACTATAGTCCGGCCCTCCATCGCTCTGAGGGACAGTGAACTGGTCCCCTGTTTAAAAAGTTTGAGGACCCCTGCTCTACATCATCATTGTGATGAGTATATGGAGCCACCTATTGGGTATTCACTGCAATTGCAGTCTATTTTCTGAAACAGTAAGTTTGACTTACACATCAGTCTACTTCCAGTTTAGCTTTCAGAAGAACACATCAATTAAGGCCTCCTTCTCCCTTTAACAAACGCAATGGATGAACTTTCAGGCATATGTATATCAAAGTCACATACATAGCTAGATTGCATTTCAATATATTTAATGTGATTTGTAAGTAGCTGTTTGTAAGAAATGCGTTCATTGTGTGCATTTGTAAAGAGACTTATAACTTCAGTTTATGTGATTATATTGCAGTTTTACAGAACTATTCATAGAAACAAATTCAGTTTTGGAATGAAACACAACTCTGCTTCTGTCCGTTTTGTTAGCTAGCTGTTGGCAAACCATTAGTAGGACATCATAGTAAATTGTATCTGTATACAGGCGAAGACAGAGGAGCTTCACAGTAAAAAGGCATCTCTATACAAGGGAAGATGGAGAAGATTCACAGTAAAAAGGCGTCTGTATATAGGCAAATATAGAGAAACTGTTAATCTAAAAATTATAGTGTATCATGAGAGGGTCAGCTAAATCCTAACATAAATGAGCCCTGCTAAAAGCATGTAATTATCTTACTAAATAAGAAGGAGAACAAAGCCAACGTGCCACAGGACATTCAGTAAATGAATGTGAGCCATATGAAAGATTGGCTTGTGTATGTGACTGACACATAACCCCAAAAGGTCAGAGGGCCCACAATGTGAGTGCATACAAAAGGTACATGACAATATATTCATGTAAGATTTAAAAAAAAAAAAGGGGGAGGGAGAGCCATGGGCATTCAATAAACGAATGTTGGGTATCGAAGTGTGTATGATGTATTACAGCAGAGAGGTGTTAGAAACTCATTGATGGTTACAGTATTTTTAGACAAGGGTGTGCTACCAAATATTAAATTGAGGGTGGCAATAATTTTGTCTAGTCCATTTTGGGGGTTTTGCATGGAATGTGTCAGATTTAGCTTTTTGTTTCTCCACTTTTTTTGTGTCCTACCAATACTAAAAAAGAAATATACATGAGAATGTCTAAATATTTGTAATTGCAACAATTTTCTGGGCAAAGTAGTGCATTATCTGACAGAAATGCAGGGGTGCCAATATTTTTGGCCATAACTGTATGTGGTATCACTGTGAGCGTCAGGAGCAGGATAATTTATTTTACGGGTTTTTCTGGGTGGTAATTTATGCCAATAGCAAAAAATATACAGCTAAATTTAAAAAATCAGGAGATATCCATTACCGTTTACACCAAAAGAAAGCCAACTTGTCCTGAACAAAACAAGGTATAATCCACCTGGATACACAAAGTAGCTGCAACATTGTGCTTAGACATTAACATTTGTTTTACTCTTAGTAATTAAGGGGTTAAACAATATAGGCACTTATTTTTAATGTTTTATATAGCTATACCTGCAAAAGTGGCCAGTGATCTATCGGTATCTTATTTCCTGACTAAAGTCAGTGATCTTATTTTCCGACTACAGTACACAGGTTTCTATTAATCAAGACCATGGGTTATATGCCTCCACCTTCCGGTGAGGACAGTGGCAAGCAAAGTTGCTCAGAAGAGCTCATATAACCTTAGATGATGGGTGACCTATCTACTGAGAGCTGTTTTTTGGCACATACAACGTAATTCTTTTTTTGCATACCAGGTATGACATACATTGCCTATATGCATGTCTATTCCTATCAAAGTAGTATTTATTTTTATTTTCAGCCAAACAGTGCAGTGGTGTGATGTTTTACATCTTTGATTTTGTCACATAATCCCATTCCAGGATTCAAAAGTGTTTTCCATGGTATTCTTTAAATCAGAGTGTCAGACCAGAGAGATTCACTAACATTAATGATATGCAGTTCCTTCATATACACTATCCACAAAGGAAGCCTTCATAGATCACGTATCTCCTCATCAATTCCTCTAGAGTCTGCCTTATCCCCTTTAGACTATCATGAGAACAAAGTCTTTGAATATATTGCCTCATCAGACTAATCTTGGTTTATTTGACTAGTATGGATAAAAATCTCTAATCATTCTGTGTATTAGCTTGTCAAACTAATCTCAAGTTCTCTAACTATATGGATAAAAGTGTCTCATAAGTCTTTTCACTCGGATGTCCTATCAATAGATCTGTGCTTGCTACACATAAATTACATCCCAAGGTAACTCCTCATATTTTTCCAAAGACAATTTTGTAATATGAACTATTATCTGAGAATTACAAAATATCTAGAAATACTCACTTAAAGCTATACTCTTGTCTCACTATCATATATAGCTCATTATTTTCCTCATTGTCCTGGTCATCTATTAAGTTCTTCGTCTGGTAAGTCATGAACCCCATTAAAAACAAAAGCACCCCCCAAACTAAAATGCCATCCGAACATGTTTCACTGCTTAAATTGCAGTGTCATCAGGGGTAATATACAATATCTCACAGAAGTGAGTACACCCCCTCACATTTTTGTAAATATTTTATTATATCTTTTCATGTGACAATACTGAGGAAATTACAATGTAAAGTAGTGAGTGTACAGCTTGTATCACAGTGTAAATATAACAGTGACACTCAGGCCCTGATTTACTAATGTGCCTAGACACATTTCCGTGGGATAAAGTCTACTTTTCAATAGAGTCCGTCTACTTTTAGACGGCGAAGACATTTACTAAAGAAAGAATTTAACAAGTAGACTTGAAAGTGAATTTACTAACTAGGCACAATCCAGGAATCAGTCTAAAACAGTAGATGTCCTCGAAGCATGCCTAACAGAATGAAAAATCACTGCAGAAACATGTTCACATTAAAATTTGCTTTCCCAAATATCTGGCCTTCACTTTAAACAATATATTACATTTCAAAAATTTTTTACAATGGATAAAAAATAGTTTTTTAAGGGAATTCATGACAGTCAAGAACTAGAGGCTTTTCCAACACCTATGCAGGGACAGAAATGAGCATGTGCAGGACACAATTTAACCGTCTGCTGTGGGCGCTTTCTTTTTAGATGCTGTTTAAACCACTAGGGGATCGCCCGCAGTACATATACTGCTACAAGGCAGCCCCTGTGCTCAGGATCATGTATATAAAGGTGATCCTGCTTTCCGGGGTAGGGAGCACGTGACCGCCCTACCCGTGGCACCGATCGCGGCCGCGGGTGTCAATCATCAGATCCCGGCCTGTGATTACCCGGCGATTGCCGGCAATCACTGACAGAGAGGAAGGCTGCATTGTTTTCAATGGAGCTTTCCTCCCTGTCAGCTTTCAGCTCACTGTTCCGAGATCGCAGGACACAGCCTCCCGGAGCAGTGTGTAACAGAGCAGTACACACCCCTGCCCCCTAGTGAAACACTTAACTCTTTGATTGTCTCCAAAAGTTAACCCCTTCCTCCCCAGTGCCATTAGTACAGTGTCAGTGGTTTTTTTTTTGCACTGATCACTGTATTGGTGTCACTGGGGATGTCAGTGACCCCAAGTCAGTTACCCCCCAGTGTCAGAATGTCCCCCGCAGTCCCGTCATAAGTCACTGATTGCCGCCATAAGTCGCTGATCGCCACTATTATTAGTATAAAAAAAAATTAAAAAATACAGTATATATACCGCCATTTGTAAATGCTATAACTTTCACGTAAACCAATTAATTTACAAGTATTGGGATTTTGTTTAGCAAGGACATGTCGCAGAATACATTTTGGGCCGAAATTTATGATGAAATTTGATTTTCACATTTTTTTACTGGGCATGTTTTATAGCAAAAAGTCCAAAATATTGTTTTTTTTTTTTCCTCAAAATTGTCGGTCTTTATTTTTATAGCGCAAAAAAATAAAAACTGCACAGGCGATCAAATACCACCAAAAAAAGCCCAATTCGTGAGGAAAAAAGGATGTAAATTTAATTTTGGTGCAGCATTGCATGGGCCGAGCAATTGTCAGTTAAAGTGACGCAGCACCATAACACGAACCGCTTATGTAACCGCTTCTTGACCGCCCTATAGCAGAAATACTGCTACAGGGCGGCACAGGTGTGCAAAATCACATATATATACGTGATTCGCTTTCCCGTGGTTTTCACGCCCCTCACAGATGGCGTCAGATTGCCAGTCAGTACACCAGTCTTCACATTTAATTCCCTTGATTGCCAGGAAGACGCTCATACACAATAAACCTGCATTGCTAGTATAGTGTTTGAATTAATCAATATGTTTGATCAGATCAGCACTATACCAGCGTTCACATTAAAATAGCGTCCCCAAAAACACAGAGTTAGCGGGATCAGCCCCGACACCTGCCAGCACCTGTGTTTAGCCCCTACTCTTACCCTCCCCTTCTCCCCCAGCAGGTGCAGTGCCAGTAGGTCACTGTCACTTGATATATTGCACACAAAACCGCAGTGTTCGCAAGTGCATCTCTGTTGCACTTGCCGGTAAATTTTGATGACTCTCATATGCAGCAGAGTGCCAGTACTAGTGCCCGTGCTAACTTTTGGTGAACTGGTGAGCACCAGCG